ACTCTATACTTTCTAAAAAATCAATTTGGATCTTGTGATTAAGTCTAGAGTTAGGCGAAATCTTTATGGGCTTTTTACATTACAAGAAATAAAACAAAATCCCAACTTGATTCTTTGGGGTTTCTTCATTTTCTCGGGAAAAAACCTCTATAAAACCCTAATTTAGGGATTTGTATTGTTATATAAATTAAAAGTTTCCTACTTTGATTAGGACTCTATCCTTTTAAAAATCAGTTTTTTTTTAGTAAAATTAGGGTTTTTAAATGCATGGAAGGTCGAGAAGCAATGTCATTCCCAGGAGCTCATCATCATCCTCCTCCTCCTTTCTATTTACCCAGAGGAGCTTTCACTTCAATCTCACCTTCTCAATCCGCGAATGCCCTCCACGCGCCTCCTTCTCTGAGACCAATGTTAAACCCTAATTTGCAGCATCCGTTTCCATTCGGCGAGCAGAGACATCATCAACAAGAGTTCGTCGGCCATGAAATTCACATGGGTATGGCTTCATCTTCTTCTTCTCCGACTATGCAATCGCCGTCGATGATTCCTCAACCACCGCCGATGTTGGCTGCGACGGAGCCGGTGGTTAAGAAGAAGCGTGGAAGGCCGAGGAAGTATGTGCCTGAATCTGATAACCAAATTGCTCTCGGACTCTCTCCGATGGATTCTTCACACAAAGCTAAGAACTCTTCCTCTTCAATGTCTGATCCTAATGCACCTAAACGAGCTAGAGGTCGACCTCCAGGAACTGGGAGGAAGCAACGTCTCGCTAATCTCAGTAAGTTTTCGATTTTGAAGTTGTTTTTGATAGACTTGATTAGCTGAATTTTGGAGTTTTTTTTTTTTACTGATTCATGTTTGTTGTTATGTGAATTGAGATTGAGATAATTGGGATTTAGAATTGGGACCTGTGATTAGCTGAAATTGTGATTCTATGTTTGAGTTAAGAAGTTGCATTTAGCTCTGTTGTTAAGCTACTCAATTTTGGGTTTTGAGCTAACTGATTGAGTTCATGTTGCTAGTATGTGAATTGGGTTCCTGAACATGGTTAGTTGACTGACTCGATGGCTCGCTTTTAGCTCTGGTGCTCAATCTTGGCAACTGAATGATTTGTGTGTTTATTATGTGATTGAGAAGAAGTTATAGGGATCCAGAGTGTGGTTTGTTAACTTGGTATTAGTAAACGTATGACACTTGATATGATGTCAATCTCCGGGTCTTGTTCGCTTGTGATCCCTCTAATTTTTGTGCGGTTTTACTTAGACAGGAACTTGGTTTTGAGTTTCTGTAAACATCTTGTAACTTAGATGTTTTCATCGCTTTGCTTTACTGGTG